TTTTTTTTTTTTTTTTTTTTTTTTTTTTTTTTCAAACTAGAGAATAAAAAGTAAACGCAAATTACTTAAACAACAAAATAATAAGAAAAAAAAAAAGAGGAAAATTAGAAAACAAGCCATATCTCAACTAATTTAAAGTTACTTCAAAAAAAAAAAAAAAGAAAATCAAAAACAAAACCTAATTAACGAAAAGAAAAAAAATTCAACAAAGTATTTCTTTTGCAGGCAAAGATGTCTGTTGAGACTGATTGGATGTAATGGTAAGAAGCCATAGAAATTAAAACTCAAATGATAATTAAGAAATACGCGATTTTTTTTTTTTTAAAACCAATTATATATATACATTTTCATTTATTTGCTTTTATGAGAGAAAGAAGAAAAATTTCGTATTGCCACACCTACCATACAAGATCGATTAATGGATATATTTTGGTATTTTTTTTTTTTTTTTTTTTTTTGGACTAAGCGGTATACGCTTAAGCAAAAGAAAAGCGTTATATGTTTATTTTAGTAATCTTTTTTTTCACTATTATCGGGCAACTTGTTCACTCGTAAAATGGTGATTTAAACTAAACTCTTATTGAAAGCAAACTTAAATTTCTATGAATTAATCGATAAATCGATTCAATTTATAAGAGGAGCAAAAAAAAAAAAGAGTCGCTTATGCAATGAGTCTAATTGTGTTAGTATCGTAGACGTTCTTAATTATAATTTTTATGATTCTTGATAACGTGCTTCAGCTCTCCCTCTCTATCCTCAAAGAAAACTCTCTCTATACCCTTTCGACGATGATGATGAACCGATACATTGATTCCATCTGACTGGATTCTATAAGATCAGTTGTACCTCTTAAGAGGTTACACACACCATTGCATTCTTTTCAGAAAATTAACTTTTTTATTGATTCAATAGATGCTTTGAACGCTTTAGAATATCAAAGAAAAATTCTTTAACTGGAAGGTTTTGTCTCCCTCTAACGCTACCTGCTTCAACTGAGAATGTTTCAGGAGCTTGCAACTTGATATGTTTTGCCGTTGACCTTTTATAAGAGATGAAAGTTTAGATAGTTCATGTTCATGTTTCGAACGAAAGGATATTAGTGTGGCTACGTCAGTACAAATGGGCATATTACTGAAAATGTGGTTCAATGTTGTTGCAAAAAAAGCGACCGCAAATGTATCGCGCTAATTTTAGCAAGAGCTGCACAAGAGCCAGTAAACAAAAATTTAGAGTAAAAATATTGGAAAGAAATATTTGAACATGGAAAGTCAATTTCTTCGCCCTAATAGAGCAGACTGACGCTATGTAAAACGCTATGTACCTTAATTCGAATGCTATCCTAACGATCACTTTTTTAAAGACTTAACTACATGCATAAGAACTTTCTCGAATATTATGACTATATACAACTTTTCTTTCATCCCGAAAAAAAAACCCTGTTTTGTAGCAACATCTCTACCCATCCTCTTGTTTTCGCTAAATATTTGGGAAAACGCCACCTCACTGAATTGTATCAGTAGGACAAGGGGCGAGCTTAACAACTCATATATGGTATGGCCACGTATGGTGATAACATGCTCCCACTCATCTTTATTATGCAAAATTAGTCATTAAAAACCAGAATAAGGAAAGAGTTTTGCTGGAGTATGGCACATATATACGATATGTAATTGCTTGGAATGGATCGAGATAGTGTTAGAAAGATTTGCAGCATGTTTGCAACATTGGGATTTTTTGTTAAATAGCAATCCAGACAAATGTCGAATCAAATCTTTTGCAGACTCTATTAAATATTTACATCTGCAATATGACCCGTACTTCCGGCAGCAAGTTGTGGACAATAATGTTTTTAAAATTTTAAATTGATTTTTTTCTTTCTTTTAGCTTTTCTGCCCGTTTAAGACAAGCTTACAATCGGTCGGACCGCGACTACTTTTTCTTTTTTTTTTTAATTTGATCAGTGGATAAATAAAACAAGTTTCAGTCTTTTACGGACGAACGTGTCTAAACTGAACTGATTCAAATTGGCATTAATCGGAAATATTCGTTCCTATAAAATCTTCGAGGCGTTCGATGCGTTTCTCAAAATAAGACCAGGAAAGCAAAACGATAAATCTGATTATACTCTCCTCATACTTCTTTTGAGTAGAAATTCTTAAAAAACGTTTTTTTCCAATTTTGACATTTTTTTAAAATATTTCAATCCATCGCGCAATTGGCTAACGATATGCTAGATTTCTCAATACCTTTCTAACTTTCTTGTCTAACACATCAACACAAGGCAGGTTATCGTACATTTCGAAAAATTTTCGTATAGTAATTATTTTTTTTGGTATTTTGGACAGCATCGCAATAACTATGAAATAAATGAATATAAATGAAATTATCAATAGAGTTAAAAATTAAGTTAAAAATGGAAAAATTTAACCCATAATCTTTCTTAAACCTTTTGTTCGATTCGTTCGTAAATTTCTAAACATATTCCCAATTAGAAGGCATTTGAAGGTAGTCCTTAAATATGAATGAATGAATGAATTATATATGTATTGTATGTATAGATTAAATATGGATTTTAAAATAAATTACTTTTTCCTTAATGTATTGTAAATTGGAAAAGAAATAAATATAAATAAAGAAACAAAGATCGCAAGGAGAGAGTATGTATATACACGTTATGAAAGCGGTCTATATAAATATATATAAATAATATTAAATATATGTTTGCGTAAATATGTATATGATAGTATATATGTGATTAGTATATATATATATATTAAGGCTGATATGATTAGAGAGCCAATTAATCACAATGTCACGTAAATGTTAAAATTAAAGTAATCAAAAAATATAACAAACATAAAAAATAAAAAAAAATAAAAAGAGAAATTAACAAAGGACTTTATTATTCTTGCCTAGGTTTAGTAATATAGCATGTGTGTGTGTGTGTATCTATGTTAAAGGGTAGCAATCTGTTTTTTAATTTTCTTTGGGTTTTTTTTTTCTTTTTTTTTTTTTATTTATATAAGGTATAGAGAGTTTAAAAGGTTTGTATAAAGACAAAAACAAATAAGAGAGAGAAGAGAGAGAGAGAGAGAGAGAGAGAGAGAGAGAGAGAGAGAGAGAGATAGAGAGAGTTAGGTGGGTACTTAAAATAAAAAGAAAACAGAAAAAAGTACATAAAGAAAAATACAAATAAATGGAAAAAAAGAAAGAAAAAAAAAAATTAAAGCTACATCCAAACATATGAATAAAACTTCTATTAAATAAAAAAAAAAAAAAAAAAAAAACTAAATCAGATTTTGCACACTTTTCTAAGTTTTTTTTTTTTTGGTTATTTTTTTTTATTATTTTTATTATTATTTTTTTTTGGCTTTATTGCACAAACATTTATAAAAAATGAAATAGAAACATTACATACCTCCTTCAGCGTTGGCATCGTCTTGTGTGTAGCAAAGCATAAAAGCTAGAAAAATTTGAAGAAGAATTGTAGGAAAGAAAGAGAGAGAAAGATAAAAAAAAAAAAACAGAATTGATTCGGTATGGCTTTTCACAAACAAAGAGATAGGTAGAAAGACGACAGCAAGTAGAAAAAGATTACAAGGATTTTGGAAATTTTTATTATTATTTTTATTTTTATATATATATATATTTTTTTTTTCAATTGAATAAATGATAACAGCGGAGGCAGTAAGAGTGGGAGAAACGTATAACGTATAGTGGAGAGAATATGAAGCGAGAAATAGAAATAGATAAAATAGAATAAGAAAACGAAAAAGGGAATATGATGAGGAGACGGGAAGCTTATTATGTGTGTGTTTAGACTAAGTCCGCTAAATATTATTAATAAATTTTACTTTCGAAACCCTAAGAAAGAAGAAAGCAATCTAATCAATTTTGGGACATTGTTCAAATTTTTAATATTTATATTTTGATGAGATGAGGATTTAAGAAATGCTTAGCTTTGCTGCTAAAAATGTACTTGCAACACATGTTTCCTTTTAATTATTATTAATATTATTATGATTATGATTTGAGATAAAACTGTGATGAATAAATTAGCGAAAATCAAAATAATTAAAGAAAGGAAAAAAAAAAAAAAAAAAAAAAAGAACCAAATATGTGTGTTGCATAGTGTTACACATAATTATACGATAAGAGTGAAAGAGCAAGGTGTACACGCGCTTTTAGACGATACCAGAGTAGAAGACAATACGTTTTTAGAAATATATTATTCAAGTTTCTTTTTATGAATTTTCGTTTTTTTTTTTTTTTTATTATTCTTTTCAATAAAGTTATTGCACTCTAAATTTGAAAATGAAAAACTTACAATTTTGAATAAAAAAAAAATTAATTTGTTAGACGTAGACTGTGTTAAAATTAGCTAGAAAAAAAAAACTTTAGTTAATCACCATATATTCACCAGATTAGTTAGTTTGTTTTTATTTTGTCTAAATATCTCTCCTTATGTATAATACTCAATATGCTTTTTACGCACTTACATAAGTTTTATAAATAGAAAAATTATTAGATATATGTGTATATAGATATTTTTTCTGCAATTAGACTTACGTTGTGGCTCGTTGGAATCATTGTTATTTAAATTGTTAACATCTAACTCACTAGTGCTGGCCGCAATTCCATTCGCTTTCGTTTTTACACGAAAAGTTGAATGAGGTGATTGTTCAGTTTTTCAGTTTTTTTTTTTTTTTTTTTTGTACATTTAACGAAAATTCCAAAACACACGTTTACATAATTCGGACACAATACGTGGCGTAAAGTAACGAACATATGTACGGATGGGTGGATGGTAGGGATGATGTTTGGTGTTTTTTTTGTTTTTTTTTTTTTTTTTATCATTTCATGATTATGGAAATTGATTGATGATATTGAAGACACATTTAACAAACGCACGTTCATGTTAAGTTCATGTTTTGTTTTTTTTTTTTTTTTAAATGTAAAATAACAGAAAACAAAAAGTTTCAAATAATTATAGACATTTGCATAAAAAACAATTAGAAAAATTAAATATTAAAAATATTAAAATTATTAAAAATTATCATAAGGGTGTAGTAATAAAAAAAAAAAACATATGTTTTGATTTTCCTTGAAGTGCAAGTAAATTGTTAACAACGACTGTCTCTAAGTCTTAATAAATCCTTTCCATTTCTGATTAAAGCGAACTGTTGTCAACATTTCTTTTTTTTTTTTTTTTTTCTTTTTTCTTTATTTACAAAAGCTATATATTTTTATTGAAAATTTCTTTAGCTACTTACGCTCTTGATCACTTCCGTCTTCGTTACGTTCATCGCGACTCTTCATAAATGGGAATTTTCGTGAAAATGTGAAATTTTTCTTTTTACGATCTAAAGTTGATTGCTGGAATAAGGAGAATGAGATTGAGAAACGTAAGAACAGAATCTCTTTATAATAATATAATTAATAATAAATGAACACACACGCTTGCACACACACACACACACACACACACACACACACACACACACACACACAATAAATCTTTACAATATATTATTTTATATTTGGCATGAATTGCACTTTGCAACACGCACCGATAACTCCTATATATAACGCACCATATCATATCATATGCTATCGTATCATATGACCTAAGTGTTCATATTATTTTGTCTATCTCCTAACTGCTTACATGATTTTGCTTATGCCCTATAATGATAGGTACTTGCATGTACATTGATTAGCGACATCTATTAGTTTAAATCATAAGGTAATGCGAAATATTAAAATTGCATTTTCAACATTCATTCATTAAGTAAATCTATTACGACAATCTTAAGAAACCCATTCACATAAACGCCGAAGTGGAATATTCATAGTCATAAAGTTTTACTGTGCATATGGAGGGATCAGCAAGGTGTAATATATTACGAGTTGCTACAATCGAATGAAACTCGTGCTCAACATATTCGCCGAAAATAGCGCCTTCTGATTATCATTTGTTCGGATCGATGGCTTGACTGCCACGCGATTTCGAAATGTTGAAGAGCGAAAATGGATCAATGATTGAATCCCTGCCAAACCAATATCGGTCTTTCGATACGGTTTCCCCATATTACCCAAAAGATGGCAAAACGTTGCAGAAAATGATGGAAAATGTTTTGTACCAATTGTTCAAAAATTTTTGATCAAAATATATGCAAGCAAAATGACACAGGGTATCAATTTGCTGTTTTTTTTTTTTTTTTTTTTAGTTTACTCCTTTTTGGATTTACTTATATCATTGCAGTCGACAATAGTCGATCTTCTTTTTTAGTTCTTTTAATTTAGGTATTAGGTCGGTTGCATAATTTTGTTGAAATCACATATCGTGCAAGTCGAAATCATCGAACATTTGCATATTTCTCTAACTTTCTCCATTGACGACAATTTTGTGTTTCATCCACAATTTAGCTGAACATTTAGCTCACATCATTTTTATCTATTACCTGTACATATAGTGAACGTTTCAATTTTATATAAATTTGAAGGACTTGAAGGTGTACTAGTAGTTTCGTAAAAACGATTGAGATAACATTTTTTCGACTTTTCTCAGTGTGTAAAATCAATTGGATAAGAGCTTCTATCTTTTAAAAAATTGTTTAACAATCTCTTCCTTCGTTGTTCATTGCCGTAATCCTATTGAGAAGATGCTTAACTTTTAGTCCTTACGTACAGCTGAAGATTAAATGTAGAAATATAATTTAATAATGTCATGAAAGCGTTAAGAAATTAGTCCATAGGCATTATGTTTATTTTTTAATCGAATTGGGAATGCAACCATGCATCGAGTTGCGTTCTTCTGCGTAACTAAAGAACGGATCAAAATTATATCGAAAAAAAAAAACAGAGAAAAAACTATTCCTTGTAATTGCCTATATAATCGCAACTTCCCACAAAATATTTAAGAAATCTCTCCGTCAAATCCTTTTAAATACTAAAGCCAACCTTAAAATAATACAACGAATTATTACTTTTCACTTAAACACGCTTATAGACTCATTAAGAGACCACTAGGTAAACTAGGTTTAAAGTGGTGTGAATGACATAAAGTACTAATTATTTTTTGATTTAAAAGTTTCCCGGCGCCCATTAATGATTTGCGTAGTCATATGCCTTTTTAGCTTCATATGCATCTTTGTTCACGATTCATTTCAAGTCGCACTAATTACCTTGCCCATAACAATTACATACAGAGTACAGGTAGATAGAAAAATAGGTGCGAGCTTCTATTTTGCGAATATGGTTCTACTGCTGTAAAATATAATACGAGGAATATGGGATATAATCCTGTCAAACGGACTTCGTTCGATGATTTCCAAACGAAGGTAGGTAAATGCTTATTTCATGTAATCATTTAAAGTAAATGCAATACATTTATATATTTACATACCTTATCTATGTTATTGTTTGCATTGACTGCGTGACCCTGAAATTTGACGCTTCGATCGCGTGCACGCATTTTACGTTCCCAACGTCTTTTCGATGGTACAATACCGATTTGCTCATCTTCATTGTCACCTAAGACACGACGCGCCTGCCACCATTCATCGTCGGACGCATTAGTTACATGTAAAATATCTCCATGCTTAAAGGGCAAACCTCTTGACGGTAGACCGTCATCACGATTTGGATCGTAATCGAACAAGGCTCTCACGTAAAGCGATCGTTTTTGTGTTGTGCGCAACAGGGTGCCGGTACCAGCGGCAGTAAGTGCCGCCTGTTGTTTTAATTCTTGTATTCTCGCTTCGAAACGATTATAATCTTCGGGTCGATATTGCGCCACCAAGGTAACAATTCCACCGGAAGTCTTTAACGTATAATAAAATTGCATTAAACTATATTAAGTGTATTTCATTTGTCCCTTACTTTTAAGGCCTGCGCGGCTTCTTCGTGAGTGGCATTTCTCAAGTCCGCATTATTCACATTCAGCAACTGATCGCCACGTTTCAGTTCGCCACCTAAATCAGCAGGACCACCAGCCAATATAAATGAAACGTATATGCCTTGACCGTCTTCACCGCCCACAATATTAAAGCCCAAGCCTTGTGGACCTTTTTGTATGGTTATTGTTCGCGGTTCCCTGCATACAATAAAAGAATATAAAATGCATATAAAATTCCAATGAACTTTCGTTCAGCTACGGACTGAAACAAATTATATTATAAATTATTTGCTGATTAACTAACTAACGAATGAATGAATATTTCATTCCACTTTTTTCCTTTACATAACACGGCTACCAAATGGGTTCTTGTCGCTGCCGCAATTTAATACGATTTATATCACTGCTCATATCTGAAAGCAAGCGCTCTATAAATTCATTGTTCATTATTATTATTTAAGCTTTTCTCGCCAACATTGCTATCAAAACTTTATTTCTTTTCGTTTTCTTATGTCGTCTTATGTTTTCTCGCTATTATCATATGCATGACTTGTCGGTAAAGTTTGCCAAATTTGAAAAAAAAAGAAAACTTATAACTTAACTACACTCACACTATTCGGCCATACATTTAATAAAGCCATTTAATAATAACGCAACTATATCCATAGATATCACGCCGTTTACCGTGATTAACCTTTAATAATGTGACAGGAAAGAAAGTGTTGTGTAACTTTTGACAAAGCGCTTTGAACAGCGTTGGATGTTTATTTGTTTGTTTGTTGTTGTTATTGTTGTTGTTGTTGTTGTTGAAAAATACCCGTTGTATAATTTAGTTGACAAGGCATTATATTGGACCACCATAATTACTTGGCTAAATTGAGATAGGTTGATTGGACATGTGCGTGGATGTTGCAACAAAACTCAACTACCCTAACAATAATGTGTTAACTATGTGTGTACCATTTGTAATCATAAATCGATATTTTACTTAGAATGCCTTTAACCATTAATTTTTCACACACTAAACCCGCCCGGGGGAGGGGGCTTTTTTTTTTTTGTTTAAATAACTATAATCTCAAGCTTTGCCCCTTCTTTTTTTCTTCTTCTTAAATTACCGATCCTGACATCTAATGCGATACAATCAATAGAAATATTCGGCAGGACAGTTAAAATTTGGGATGTTGAACCATCATTCTTAGAGCGCAATACACACAAACAGATATGAGTGGTTTAAAATAATCAAAATTTCCCCACCTAAGTTCCTGCACACTTCGGTCGATTTCGAACTGAGGTTGTGCAGACGCCCGTGATCACAAAAATTAAGTTGAAAAGCAAAACGTTTGTTGTATTAGCGCTTCTTCGTTAAGTTCACAGTTGGGGAGTGATTCGTTAGCCGATTGCAACAATAAATTGATAGCTTATGGGAAATATTGACCTGAAGATTTGTACAAATAATCGAGTCGCCCGGGAATGTTTTCCGGTTGTCGGGAATCGCGATTACGAGTTCAAACCTTTCACAAGGGGAACAAACTTCTTGTCATTCTGATTTTTTCTACCTTCCTCTGTCTTGAAGCCAACTATTTAAAAGTCAACTATATATGTGTATGTCATAGCCGGGCAAGGCGAACCTTTACATACTGTACATCATTTCGCTTAACTTATAACCCCACAAAAATTATAAATTATTTTTATGTAAACGCATAATACGCATGAAAACCCTCTTATCGGTCGATACTCAAACATCAACGGGCTCTAAATTTAGCAAACGTAATTTAATTATGAAAGCTTTTATCATTTTTCCGTTGCCCTTGGGCAGACAACATGCGGACACACAAGCCTAAATCAATTTGGAAAATGATTCTAAATCGATCGGTATAATAAATGCTATGTTTACCTCAAGTGCTCCTGTGCATTGCAATCGCACGCATAAACTTAATACATCCCCATACCACGAGGGTATCAAAAGCGGAGAGTTAACCCTTTATCAATATAAAGCATAACTGTACACTAAACCACTTGTAGTGCAGGTATATTAAGTTTGTGCGGATCTATGTGATACCCAGAATAGCCAACTTTTATTATGTCGAGTCAGAATTGTCTTGTGAATTCAATCAAGTTTGTCTGTCCATCTTCCCATGTAATTGCAAAAATCAACCTACGGGTCACAATTTTCGAGATATGTGGACAAAATTTGACACAATAAGGACCTCCTGCCCAAGGACAAACACTATTTGAAATGATTTGGATCGGATCATTTTTATGATCGCTTCCCAAACAACGGCTTATGGAATGCAAAACCGTTCCATTACGATGCATAAAAAAACCCAGAAAGACTTGAGATACATGCGCTTTTTTATACACCGATATATTCAGCAACACTTTCTCAATCGATGTATACTTGTCTGTTCGTCTGTCCAACTTGTGAATCACAATACTTGAGATGTTTTAATGAACTCTGTTACACCGACATGTTTTAGCCCAAGGGCGAATGCAATTGAAAATGGTTTACGCCTTATTTTGAAAAGTGATTATATGGATAACTAATTCAAGCGAAGTGGTGTAGGATATTTATTTAATGTTGGACCAATAGACCACTGTAATGCTTTTACTTGTTAATTAAGATTTACTCACCTCGTTATATCTTCAGTGCTAACAGCACGCGGAGTACCAGGAGGTACGGCAGCCAAAACATTCGATGATGCATATCTGGACGCTGGTTCTATAAATCGTATTGAATTTTTTTTTTTTTTTTTTTGGTTTTTTGTTTTTTTTTTTTAATTTTTGGTTTTTTGTTATAATATATATATTAGAAAAAAAAAAGAAGAAATCAAAACGACAAAACACATACAAAAAAAGTGAAACAAAATTGAAAACAATTAAAAGAACCGATTAGTGGCGATGCTAAAAGCTGTTGTTGTTGGTGTTGGCAAAGAAAGATAAATAAATGAAGAGTTTAAGAGAAAATATTTTTTGATAAAACACAGAGAATAATAAAAATGTTCATAAAAACAATATAGACATTTATTATAAACAAACCACTCTTGTATGCAGGCATGCCAGGTAGAGAGACATTTAAAAGAATAAAAAGGGAGAAAACGAAAAAGAAAACGTGCACAACCAGTAATAATTTATAGTTAGGGAACTTTTGAATTTTTTAATTTGTTTTCTTTTTTTTTTTTGCGCTTAATTCTTAAATATCAAAGATTAACAGAAGAAACATTGAGTGCAATAACTTTTTTTTTTTTTTTTTTTTTTTTCTTGTTAATTTATTTAATAAACGCGATTTTTTTGTCATAACAAATAAATATTATTAATTTTTTGTTTTTCTGTCCTTCATTGTACAGCTTTTGCTTTTCTCAAATATGCAATATAAGTTAAAATTAAAGGCAAATTAATAAATAAACAATAATTGCATAAAAAATTATATGAAAATTAAAAGCCCGCGCGATATGTGTAATTTAATCAGAGACAATTGCTCTCTAGTTTCATAATATAATTGTTGTTGTAATTTGATTAATACTTCAATATGCAAGCAAGCATACAAGTGTAGCTCTATTTAAATGAATGGTCAAGGAAACGAATTAGACATTGACAGAGAGAGAGAGAGAGAGAGAGAGAGAGAGAAAGAGTGGTAGACATAGTAATGTAGTAGTTAAGTATGTGAAGAATAGAGAGTTTAAAGCTTAGCTGGCCATATAAAGAACATAACAAATGAAAATGTTAACGAAAGCTTACGAGGCAAAGGTGACTGGGATCTGGAGGCTGATGCAATTTCGGCTACAGCAGGATTGGATGAGGAGGCTACTGTGTATTGTTGGTGGTGTTGTTGTTGTTGTTGTTGTGGTGGTGGTGGTGGTAGTGATGGTAATGCTTGTTGTTGATTGATATTGTTATTGGTAGTGGCTGTGGTGGAGGATGAACGAGCATAATCGACAACTGACTGTCCTACAGTATTTACCGCACCTGTTGAATGTGAATTAACCTGACTAAAGTGTTGAGTTTGCGTTACACTCATCAAATGCTGCGATTTGCCAACAATTAATGTCACTCTATCAACAACGGATTTCAATGTGGCGACCGCCTGTTCATGTGTAACATTTTCTAAATTTTTCTCTTCCTAAAAAAAGTGTTAACAAAAAAAAATAAATAAATAATTAAAAAATAAAAAATTATTGCAATTTAATCGTAAATCTTGAGACAAATACTATCAAAATATTTACCCCATTTGCTTTGACTCCGATTAATTTATCGCCAATAGACAAGCGTCCGTCGACAGCAGCGGCACCGCCATCCATTATTTTGGTAACATAAATACCATTATCGCCGGGTATATGCTGATTGCCAATGCCGCCAGCTATAGAAAAGCCCAAACCTTTAACACCTTTCACAAGATCGATTTCAATGGCCTTGGGACCCGTTGTTTCAGAGCTCGCCGCTATCTTAGGACTTGTAGTTAATGCACCCGTGCTAACACCTCCGCCACCACCATCGCTACGTTTCCTTTTCACGTGCAGTTTCACAACATTTCCGGCTTTCTTTAACGCATCTACTGCCCCGGCATGTGGCACATCCACCACCGATACATCATTAACCGTAACAATAATATCGTTAACGCACAAACGACCATCGGCTGCGGCTGCGCCGCCCGGTATTAATTTTGTAATATAAATGGAGGTATCATTGCCTATATGAGGATTGTCGGTGCCGCCAGCAATTGAAAAGCCCAAGCCCGAAGTGCCGCGTTCCAAAGTTATGTCTTCGTATTGCCAATTTTCGTCGCCGTTAACCTTTAAAAGATTCAAAATTCAACGAGATGAAGACGATTATCTTAAAACATCGCATTTATATATATATAAAAAAAAAATAAATAAATAAATAAAAAAAATAAATAAATAAATATATTAAACGTAAAGTTAAGTGTTAACTAGAAAAGCCATAAAAAAAACTTAATAATAATAAATAAATAAATAAATAAATAAATAAATAAATAAATAAGGTAAGACAAATATTTAGATAGACAACACCTGCTCAACAAAGCTTCAATGATGAATGAAAAGAAAGCAAAAAATTAACAAAAATGAATTTAAATCATTTCTACAATGTTTTCTTTTCTTTTTTTTTTTCATTCTTTTTTTTCTTCATTTTTTTGTTATACGAAAATTATAAAAACAGAGAATTAGACGACATATTACACATTTGTTTATTGTAAGTCTGTGTAATGGACAGAGACACGCATACACATTCAATTGCACAAAACTAGACCGCTTACCTTATGTGAGGATGCACGGTGTACCTGTAACGTAAAATAAAGTAAAACGTTTGCAGCTTATAAATACAACGATTAAATTATATATATTTGATAGTTAAACAAAAAAAAAAAAAAAAAAAAAAAATAGAAAACCAACTTGGCAACATTTCAAATAACTATGAACTGAAAACGTACATATTTAAGTTAAAAGAATTATTTGTTGCGATAAAGATAAGAAATGTTTCGCAGGACGAGTGAAAGGACGATAAGACCTCTACACATATACAAATGTGGAGAGAAGCAATTTTCGAAAAGTTTTTCTGGTTTAGCTTTTTTTCATATATATATATATATATGTATAACAGTTAAATATGAGTGAGAGAATTGAACGCAAAAAAAGGTTCATTGAACGCACGCATAACATCATGGCGGCTATCTTAGCACTTGCCTCTGTATTAACAAAAAATGAATATCAGAGACACCGTAAGCTATATAGTTATATACATTTTTGATTAGCGTAAAATTTGTAAATCTATATAGCTATGTACGTCTGGCTGCTTAGGCTTGCTCAAGCTTTCAAAAAGGTTTGTAGGTGCACGAAGCTGGCCACCCGATGATACAGGGAAACTATAACCCATGGGTGTGAAGTTAAATTTCAATTTAACCAGCAAAGACATACATCTAAAATTTGACCAAATGTTCGAGAAGTCGTTAAATAGTTGTGACGTTCAACAAAGTTCTCTGAGGACTCAGTTTAGTTTAGTTTAATTTATAAATTCTAGTGTCTCTTTTTTTTCGGCACAGTAAAACAGATATGGATAACATACCTAGACCGTGCAAAATAAGTAACAAGTAAGAAAATTACTTCCGGTCGTTACCGAATCTTTTATACCCATCATCGTTCTCCTGAAAACAAAAGGAAAATATCTACATTTTCATGCTCTATAATATGGAGTGGACGCGGCTAATCTTTTTCTACTTTCGAAATCAAAGATCTTGCCGTGTAGGCTTGTGGGCGCTGTCCTCACGCCCTTTGGAAATGCTTGGGTCACTCCATTCATTTCCGTTATAAATATAGTAATATGACACCCCATTATATAGGGTAGGCGTGGTCAATTTTTGACATTTTTGTAACTATAGTGTGGGCAATACGGGCATTGCCAATAGAATATGCCTTGAAGTCGTTTATGAACATGAGGAACAAAAAACCAATATTTTATTGCTTTTGAAAAACGGTGCTATTCTCAGCTTACGTGGTACTGCGAGCGTGTCCTTCGACCACATTTAGCCCATTTTCAATACCAACATGCGTGCAAGAACTTTCAATGTCTGCGCCAACTTTGAGGTTGATGTGAGGAAAATGTTTACTGCAAACATAACACGGACGGATAGACGGATATGCTTAAATCGATTCAGAATTTAAGGCTGATCAAAAGCGTAATAGGTGCTTGCATGTATTTTGATCAGTTTCATCATATCCCAATTATCGGCAATTTTAAGGTCAATGACAAAGAACGGCCTAGAGGACCAAACAAGTTCGAAGACAATGAATTGCAAGAGATTTTAGACGAAAACCTATCTCAAACCCAAACAGTGTAACAATTGATGAATTAACTGTTTCTAGACGTTGCCATGCGATAGAAAAGATGCAAAAGGAGGGAAAATGGCTAACAAGTTTTCCGCGGCGTAAAGTGCTCTGTAAAAGCCATTACAGACCTCTGTTAAGTGGCTACGATCAACGACTGGGTGCAATACTTATATTTTCATATAGATTGATTTGGTATATATATATAGGTGAATGTCGGTAGAGTTATCGGGTTTGCCTGCACTAGAGTCTCAAATTTCACTACTTCCCTTCAGTAGGTTTACGCTTACATACTAAATTTCAAAAATGTGGTGAAAATGATTCCGAAGAGCAGAACATCACTTTGCTTAGCTTATTTGAAACGTATTTTCATATAGATGTAGGAGGTGCCCACAGAAGTATATTACATTTTCTCGCTTCGATGGAATATATTTCGAACAGACCTCTATTACGGTAGCTAAATTTGAATTTATTGTCATGCCCTTACAATGTTATCATTCGTTTTGATAAAAGGTAGCGATAGTCCTTCTGAACTCATTTTTAAGCTTGTGTTAACTTGGCTGCCTTCGTCTTATCCCGATTAACACAATCGATATTCCTCTAGGGAAAGGAATCGAATTGAATATTTTTGCACCTCCTTAGATAGAGAGATTTATTAATTGTTTAGAGAGGTGCTTTTTAAGAAATTTTAAGATTAAAAAATCATACTTGGATAGTTTGGATTTTTGGTGAACGTCTTTTACACGCGTCATCGTGAAACTTTTAAGAAACAAATTTTAATTCTAAGATAAACTATTTAACATCGATCATCCAAGAGTCAATGACTTCGTACAGAAAGTGAATCAACTATGAGGATATGCGTCAGGACTATTTCCTTTCCACTCGTCAATATCAAAATCAGCAAAGGCACTATTGTTTTGCAAGGCTGTTACAAGAATTCGCTTTACAATCTTGCGACAGATAATCATCTTAACACATGCTTTCCCATATCTTTTCACTGAAGGAGAGTAATTTAACTTACGATGCATTAATTGCTCCGCATTCGAAACGGCACAATTTTTGCTTGGAAATTAGTAGACTTGAAGAAATTTAATGGCGTATACGGTTTCTTTGAGCAATTATGTGAAGCAGATAGTGTCGTCTATTGAACGAAGCGCGACTTCGTTGTCTTTGGAGGGGCTCTTACTATTCTTATTTCTTTTTTTCAATATGACCAATCACTCGAAGGATTATACCGTATTCTTGTAACACGACGCCCGTCAGAGACATGTGATGGAAGAGATACATTATGCTTGCACGACTAGTGGCGTCCAATTCATAAAAGTGATAGCATCAGCGACTACTATAGCTCCTCGCAAAACAAACTTTGGCGTAAATGAAATTTGAAAACGCGCTACGTTCACTTGGATGTGAATTGCCAACATTTTTTGCCGCCGATTTCCACCCAACCGTGAGCTTACTTTCAGAAAAAAAAAACAGAAAGCAAAAGACACTCAAATTTTCTGGCGGTCAAAAGTTTCCGATGCATACGTTTTTTCCACTGAAAAATTCTGTTTCCCTTTACTTTTATTATTCCTCTTAAACCGAATCTGTCCCTAATCCGTCAGGCCTCTGACGCTCATTTTAAATTTGAACTTGAATATTTTGATTATTTTATATTATTGGAAAAAAATATGTTTTGCAGTTAGTCATGATGTGAAAATTAATCCTTTCCATTTTTATAACGATTGGAGTCGCAATGAGCCTCAAGGACTCATCAGTCAGTTTGATATTGTGTTCGGGCCCAAACGGTCGAATAAGGGACTTGCATGCATTTCATTTCGGAATCACAACCGCAATGTCACATTTAAATAAGAAAAAAAGTTTCTTTGCGAGCGATGAACTAAGCAAAAATGTATGCATGCCTGTTACGTCTGTGTAATGTTCATTCTAAACATGCTTGTGGTGTAGTTATCGAGTTCTGGTTCTAGTTCTTCTGGTCTCAAGTTATCGCTTTGGAATTTACCAAAGATATGGGGATTTCTTGCGGATAGGATTGATGTGGAAAATGAACTAAATCAATATGAACCGAGAATACCTTGGCTTTCTTACTTTTTTTGGTTAGACATGCGATAGAAATTTTCCCGCTTATTCTACAAAAATGTAAATAATTGGCCACGTCCCGTTCAAATATTATAGATTATGAATTTTTACCTTTTCGATTGCTTTCTTTTTTACCTTTACTTTGGATAAAGATGAAGGATAGAAAAGAGATTCGGTCAGAGTCGATCATGATTTGCTTACTTTTGTCTTATTTGCAAAGACTTTTCTATATTTGTGTCAATTCGAATCGAGGACATCATTGCGAACATATAGTGAATACTAGAACTAGACTACGTCATTTTGATCTTCGTTTTTTGGGTCTTCATAGAAATGATTATATAAAAATTTGTTGTTGCCATTATTTATACGAAGAGACTTTCGAATATATATAATCCCTTTTTTTTTGTACTTTGTGTAGTCCTCGAAATACCAAGGACACATACCTGCTTCTACTACTCGTTGATCGGCTTTGTTCACTTGCCACAGCCGCAACAATGAAGATGAACAGGAATTTTGCACAAGCAATGTTCAAAATCTGTTGCGATCATTTTTTCATATCTATTCGCCAAATCCACTTGCATAAGCAATTCAAATACGATCAATCTATTTGTAATTGGATGAAGAATGTGCTACTAGTACGCATTAAAGTAAATTGTAAATAACTTGGAACTAGAGTGTCATCGTTCGTTTTGGGCATGCTGGTGAACAAATTGAGACCAATTTTGAACTGAACGTGAAACGGGACCAGAAGTTATAGGCGAAAATGTGGAAAAATAGTCCGCGTGTTTTCCGAATTTGTTTCGCTATCTACGACGGGTTCGCTAAAGTATTAGAGAAAATAAAAATCAATAGGTAAAACTGCTTGCTGTCTTTGATTTCGAACGCGCAGTAGAGTTTGTTTTTTTAACACAATCAGTCTTATCGGATCATTTCAAAGCATTCGTTAGGCCTACATAGAATAAGAAATTTTCTGAAAAATTTGCAGTCGCGTCCCCCATTCCCCTTAATTATTCATTTATTCAGAGTCTTAATAAGACATTTAGTATCTGAGAAATATGTATTCGTATTCCTCGAGTCGAGTAATGCCTAGTTTAGATTCCTTGCTTGAAGACAAAAAGAATGGGAAGACATTTGCTGCAAAACTTTTTCTAGGCATCGAAATACATCTTAGCCTTCCCGAAGTTTTCGCATCTAAATAACAGACTTTCCTTTCACATATGCACACAGTCGCCTCGTTTCCGTCTGATTCTATATGCTGCGACTCAAATTTTGGGCAATAAGAAAAATATAAAACAATTTCTGACCGATTAAGTGGGGGATAATAGAGAATATTTTTTTTACCTAACAGTCTTAAGTGAAATGGAGACCTTTCATCAAT